TTATATTCATGACTGTTCAAACCGCGAATAAAGCAGAATTCTATTCATTTCGCCTAAGAGGATTTGCGGTGTTGATGCCAAAGGACAAAACACTGAGAGAGAAATTTATTAAATGAATCATCGGAGACCGACAACTTCTACAACTACCCGTATGATGTTATTTTTGTGGCAAACATTCGCCGAAGAACAGTACGTGAAGACTCGAAAGAGTGTTTATTTTTATCTTTCACCGAGAATCGTCTTGATCCGTGCCCGTGTTTTGACGTGACAAATCTTCATCAATACTACACATCTGTCAAAGTTGACGTAATTAGCAGATTGAATTTTAAAATCAAAGTTTTATAAAGTAATCCAAGACACGTCACCACCTTTGAAATGGAATCCATGTGTTATCCACCGGGACAAACAGAACAGCAGCAAGCGTTCTTAAGCGGGTGGGGGGTCGGGGTTGGGGGGGAGTCCTCGTCAGAGAGGACGCTTACTGAAGAGGCTGGAATGATTGCTGTTAAGAGACTCATTTTCTTGTTAAATTTCTCCTTAAAAAATAAAGTCGTAATGGAGGTAATCGGTCAAAACAGATTTCGAACGTTTCTTGATACGAACCAAAAACCTCAAAGGGGCATACCGTATATACTCGATCAATCACGAAAAATTAATAAACGCCGCGGCGTTTAATCGAGTAAATACGGTAATTTAAATCTGTTTCAACGACAAAAAGAATAAAATCTGCAACAGTATGGGCAAATCCATAGAATGTTTGTGTCAATTTCGCATTTCAGGTACCTGAGGGTGGTGTCACAAACGACTAGTCACTGGGTGAAACTCCATATTGAATTATTTACCTCCCTGGAGGGGGGCTCCAATATAAAAGTGAAGGAGGTGCCCGTCGTACCTTTTAGGGAATTCGTGTTTTGATACCTCTTAGGGTGTTAACATCGAGAATGACCCGCGCTGACACCCGCGCTGACACCCGCGCTAGAGTTTGGAGAATTGAGCCAGAAAATGAAACAGGAACTACTGTATTTATTATTTATCTTTTGTAACGTTTCATTTGAAAATAGCCACTTTGATTAGGACACAGATTTTTGACAATGTTTTCAAAAATCTTTACACGTAGAATCTCAATGAATTGTCTCAATTGCTACCTTAAAAAACTGTCACTACCTCGTGAACATGAATATGGCCACGCCCACAAAACGAGATTTTGGTTCCTTTTAGGGGTTCTTTTGAAAATTTCTGACGGGCATCCCGTCACCTGGATATGAGAGTCCCCGGCCCCCTGGGATTTAATCAACGGAAATCATTTTAGTGGTGTGGGAGTAGCAGGTCCATTCATCATTCAGGCTCGACTTCTCGATGAATGCCGACTTTTCGGCCGACACATTTTCAGAGCCGTGAAAATATGAAAACTGAGAGAACTGTCAAAGCGACTGAGCTTTTCAGGCCTCCTAGGAATTTGGAAAATCCTCTTTGAGAGGAGCGCATCTGGGAAAACAAAAACTGCTCATTGATTTGCATTGAAAGATTTAACTTTGCAATTTGATATGCAACGACAGTGATCTAGGGAGAGTTTAAATTAAAGAAGCTGGGGTTATTTTACCAAAAGAAAAGTATGTTGTCAACGTCGACGACTGTGTCTAATTAGTGAAAGTGTCTCGAACTTACTGTTTGAATAACAGGCTTGTTCCTAAGTGGTAGCATTAACAAAACAAAATCATGCGCCTAACAAATTTTAAATAGTACAAGAAGCGGCAAATCTCTGAGACAATTTCTTTATTATGTGACGACAAACTGAATGGAAAAAAGTCTGAATTTGATAACAGGTAGGGCGTTTGGCATATACCTCACTTCACTCTCCATGGTAAATTATTTCCAAAGCTTGTTAAATAATTTTTTACCTTCTATTTCGGGTGCTTGTTGTTTCAATAAGATTACAGATCAGTGGCGGCACACTTGAGACGGGCCACTTCAGTGTGCTTGGTAAATGTCCTCAAATCATCCACCCTGGTTCGGAATGTTCATTTCAAATATAAACTGCTCATGCTTTACCGTAAACAAAGGTTTAAGACATCGCAAAAACAAAAACAGATCCGCTTATAAGACGTATAAGGACTTTTATGTAACAATGCCTGTGACGTTTGTTAAAAGTTAAAATACGATTTTTTTTTTTCAGATCATTCTACCGTCATTAAAATCTTGAATGGAAAGTGACAAGGTCAAGGTCCCGAGTGGGCTTAAAATCTAAAACGTCTAATTTTGGAAGTATTCAGTTATCCGTCACGAAATCATAAATAGTTGGTTTCTGTACTCGACAACATTCACTGAACAGATGTACCACTCCATTAAACAAGTCAAATTAGTTTCTTTTCATTGTTCTTATGTCTTACCAGACTACTGTTTCCTTATGATTCTAGTTTCGTATAGCTAATCGAAGTTAGTATCAAGATACTTTCTGAGAACAATATATTCAAGGACATTTGTGTCTCTTGACAGACTTCGGAAAACACGTAAGCCAACTGCAGGTACTTAGGCAAACATTTCTCTTTCACTACGTTAAAGGCTACCTGTTCTAGGTACACACGCTGTCTTATAAGGCTGACTGTTCGCCTGCACATGACTGTTACTTATACCAAGAGAAACTACCAGCAAATAAACGATTAGCAAAAAATGACGACTATGTTTCCCGAATACCAGTGACTGCACTGAAAATACACTGGATTTGTTTTTATGTTCACGAAGTGACCCGGACGAAGATAAAACGTCGATGAAATGGAAAAGAACCAGCAACTTCTAAACGGTTTATGGGAAAGAAAATCGGTCCCATTGAGTATTCAAGGATATTTACTAACAATAAGCTGATGAAGTGATGTATGCAGATTCGATTAAGGTACAGTGTCCGCTGAAATCCTACTTTAGATGATTGTGTATGTGCATACAATAGACAGCTTAATTGTGAGCGTGTCCGTGGCCAGTTTAACACCACCAAGCCTCAGGAAGCCGGGTTATCGCGGTGTATTTTAGGTTTTCCACCAGAAAACACGTACTCCATGCATGAGGTCTGCAGCTTCCTCTCCGCATCAGTAACAACTACCCTCTGGGCTTATTATCTACCGAACATTTTCTTTTGTTTCCATCTGAAAAAAGAAATTCAAGCCGCCTACGTACCACGCTCACTTTAAACTTCTGTCTGCGTACTAAAGTCACGCTTTAGATTTGATTGATTAGAAGAACAACCATAAGTATCAAGATTAGATCCTTCAATAAAAACTGACAATATTGACTCGCGGCCAAGTTCGACTGCCGACAAAACACAGTGAAAAGAATCAAAGCACTGTGGACGTAAAACAGAAAAACACAAAATGCAGTCACAGGTGTCTAGTAGTGCAGTGTGAAATTATCTCGAGTTTACTTGCGCGTAACTAGCATGAACCCTCAGTATCTTTACGAGTAGGAATGTTTCAAGGTGACAAGGGTGAAACACGAATGGAGAAAACATCTACGCCGCACTTACCATTTCCCAAACCACAAGGCTCCTTTACGTCTTCGAAGTCGATACAACAGTCCCCAGCCGTCTCGCAGAATTCATCACAGAAGCACAGAGTGTTGTGAACGAAGTCTTCCATTCCACAACTGCTGTTTCGTCCCTCACAGCAATGCAAAAATCCTCCAGTTTCTCTCTGATCACAGCACTGTACTGGACCTCCCTCTTCATTTTGAACGCAGGCGCCGTAAGCCAAAGCGAAAAACAAAAAATTAAGCGCTATGACGAACACCATTGAAGCCTGATGTTTGTCCGTGTACTCCATTGCGGCAAATCGTGTCCTTACTCGCGCTCGAGCCGGACGTCTGGAACAAACTCTCAGCGCCCGTTGTATTCTTTAACCTCGAAATACGTAGATCGGGGGATGACTCGAGTCACGCCGGAAGTTTCAAATAATTGCCCTTTTGCTTGGCAGTGTGTCAAATTGCCAAGATCAGGAAATATGTTATATATATGGGGCAAATGCCTTGTGGGCGCACAGTGGGTTGACAGCGAAAGAAAGCTAGCTGACAGATCTAAAAGATATACAAAAGCTTTATATAAACCAGGCCAATGAAGCCCAAGTATATCCTTTGATTTTCTGCTAAGATTACCTTGGTCACTGTTTTCTCAACAAACTACGGATTGTTTTAACTGGGCGGGAAATAAAGGAATTTTGGTTATGTCCGCGCTGTGTGAAACCCCTTTGTAACGCGGTTTCAAAAGGCCGTTTAGGAATTTTAGTCCTTAAGATCCGACTACCATGGAATAAAGGGGTAGCCACAAATCGGCTTCCTCAACAATCCGGCTGGATTTAAAATACATTACATTTTCTAGTCAGTTATTCGAGCAGTAGACCGGGCCCGCTTTCCTGGATTCTGAGAAGATTGTTTGAGAACAAAACAAAGTTATCTACAAATCGTACAAAGATAATTCATTAAGCAACCCATTGTTTAAAGAACTGACGAGAAATGAGACCAAAACAAAAGGCGGGCTTTCTGTTGCAATTTGTTAAAAAGCGGTCTCGCCAAGAGATCAAGTAGATACTCTTTATACGCAGGAAACTTCGTTAAGCCCGGAAGTCAGGTTGTTTTACCATTTTTTAGTCTTGAATATATATAGAGTTACTTTTTCCTAAAAGCGAGTTTAAAAATCATGGAGATTAAAATAGCGTTTGTGTTATCACATTTTATTGCTGTTTAGATGGAGCGCATTTTAAATGTGAAATTGCTCACTACATCTTATGAAAATCTTTAGGCTACGCGCGAAATTGCGTACAAAATAAAACCCGTGCTAAAATGAAGCCCCATTTGTGCAACCCATGCACAATTTATAGCGCTTAAAAATCAGTCACTAGTATTTGGTTCTTAAAATTCTTCATGGGTCCTATTGGCCGAAATCCTTATTTTTTATTGTTCGTTGAGTGAGAAGCGAAAAACAGTAAAGCGAAAGAAAAAGCCGCATGAAGAGGAAAAGAGGGACTTGTTGTAGTGTACCTGATTCAGTCGGATGGACGCCAGGTAGTTTGTGAAAACAACGGTGATTATAACGGCCTTCTACTTATCGCTCAACGGAAAAGTGACAGACTGCCAGCCTGGCTGCATACCACTTAATAGAGAGCGGTTGGTACGAATACTTGTTTCACGTTTCCAATGTTTTCTCTTTACTCGGGATGGAAAAAAAAACAAAGAAAACACAAAGTTGTGCCCATCTTCTTCTCGTCTATGCTTACTTGCATAATTAATACGCTTAGTATAACATCTTCGTGGGTGTAACTGTGGTTTCAGTTATGAACCATGAACATGTAGCGAAGGACAAAGGACAAAAACCCGTTGTCATTTCATCATGTTGCTAGAACTGTCTTTTTCTGATTTTACAAAAGCGGGAGTTTGATTTCCGAAACCGCAAAGGCGTACAATTTCCTGTCCGATGAATTTCTTTTGGCCTTTCAGCAACTGAAAAGAAATGCAAAATGAAGATTTAATTATTTGTATAGAGTATGAACTTCAGTTGAGTTTTACATCTAACTCCCTCGCTACGCATGGTTTCGTCCATTTTTGCCTTGTGACCAAAGTCACGTGGACACGAGGTTATAGAGTGAGTTCGGAAATGCCAAGCTATGGAACGCCAGAACTGTCTTATGATACTTTTTTTTATTATATTGGGTGGTTATGTCATTATATTTAGTACTTATGTTATTATATTCGGTGATTAA